TTATTTTTTAATATATTTTTATTGATGTCAGAGAGGAAGGGAGAGAGAGAGAGAGAGAGAGAAACATCCATGATGAGAGAGAACCATGGATCGGCTGCCTCCTGCACGCCCCCTACAGGGGATGGAACCCGCAACCCGGGCATGCGCCCTGACCGGGAATCGAACCATGACCTCCTGGTTCATAGGTTCAAGCTCAACCACGGAGCCCCACCGGCCAGACAAGGGCAGGGACTTTCTTAAATGTGACCTTGAAGTTTCTCTGTTAGAACTAAGTTGAGCCTCCGGGCCATTGACTCTTAGTTTTGGCTGTCAGTCATATTTCTTTGATGAGCTTTTATGTATATTTTTAAAATATGTTGTCATTGATTTCATAGAGAAAGGAAGGGAGAAGAAGAGAGAAACATCCATGATTCTCTCTCACCGTGGATGTTTCTATCTCTCTCTCCCTCTCCCTTCCTCTCTGAAATCAATAAAAATTTTGTTTAAAAAAAAAAGGCAAACTATTGCCCTCGCTGGTTTGGCTCAGTGGATAGTGTCAGCCTGGGGACTAAAGGGTCCCGGGTTCGATTCCCGGTCAGGGCACATGCCCGGGTTGTGGGCTCCATCCCCAGTGTGGAGCGTGCAGGAGGCAGCCGATCCATGATTCTCTCTCACCGTGGATGTTTCTATCTCTCTCTCCCTCTCCCTTCCTCTCTGAAATCCATAAAAATATATTTTAAAAATAAATAAAGAATAAAAAAGGCAAACTATTAAAAGAAAGAGAGAAAGGACAGCCCCCTCGTCTCTGGAACGCAGAGCCCATCCCTCCGGCCAGTGGAGAACAGCTGGCCGCGTTCATCTTTCTCCAAAGGCAGGTCAGGGGGGCCCCGGGCAGCTTCGTGGGAAGGCGCTGGGCTCCAGAAAACCGCAGCCAGGGCTGCGCGGGCCAGACGCTGACCTCACAGCGCGATAGAGAAACCGCCGTGTACACAGCCCTTCCCAGCAGCCCAACAGGCAGCTTTTGTTTCCCTCCCGCGGCCGCCGGGCCCCTGCCTCCTGGGGGGGCGCCGCCCTCTGACCTACGTGACTGAGTCAGGAGGCCCCTCTCCTCCGCCTGGGCCTGGGCCTTGGCCTCGCTCAGACGGAGGTGAAGACGTCCTGTGACATCACCGCCCGGCTCCCAGCAGCAGGGTGTCTCCCAACCGTCTGCAGCCCAGATGCAGGCCGGACAATGCCCCCCAATGTTCCGCAGACACAGGCGGACTCGGGGCTCAGGGCGCAGCCCCCTGCTCCGTCAGCGGGAGATACAGGCCCCCCCTAAATCCACCTCTACCCTCTCGCCCCCCGGGTCCCTTTCCCTCACTTGGGTTACGGTCTCTGAGCACGAAGAGCGAGACGGGCAAAGGTTTCCATGGTCCGGCCTTTTGTTGTTTTTTACTAATCTTCACCTGAGAATTTTGTTTTTATTGATTTCTTTCTTTTTTTCTTTTTTTTTTTTTGGTTAATCCTCACCTGATAATGCCACATATAGCTAAAAGATTGCCAAGAAACAATCCTGGGGTGATCTATGCTTATTGAACTCCAAAGACACCTGACCACTTTTATCAAATTAATGCATCAGGCAATGAAAGTATCTCAACAGGAATGAAAGATTAGCAACAGCAGATCTAACCTCAGGGTCAGCTCCATGGGCAGTGATACGTGCAGTCACACAGGGCTGCACAATTGGAAGGACAGCACATGGTCAATGTTGTGCTGCTACCAACTTAAAATTCTTAAATTATTTTTCAACAAATGGCCAATATTTTTATATTGCACTGGTCACTGAAAATTAGGGAGCCAGTCATGTTCCCCCTACTGGGGATGTGCCCACAACCAAGGTACATGCCCTTGACTGGACTCGAACCTGGGACCCTTCAGTCCACAGGCCGACGCTCTATCCACTGAGCCTAACTGGCTAGGGCTCCATTCATTTTTTTAGAGAGAGAGTGGAAGGGAAGGAGGGAGGGAGAGAGAGAGAAACATTGATGTGAGAGAGACGCATCGATTGGCTGCCTCCGGCACACACCCGGAGCAGGGCCGGGGATTGGACCTGCCACCCAGGCACATGTCCTTGACCGGGAATCGAACCCGAGACCCTTGGTGTGCGGGGTGATGCTCTAACCACTGAGCCACGCCGGCCAGGCTGTCGTGCCTGGTTTAGGCCCTAAAACACAGCGTTCCACGCGGTGGGCTATCTGGATCTGGCCGCCTGGGACCCGGGTGTGTAATATGCCCCTCCCTGCCCCGCCTTGTTGCTCAAGTAGGTTGAGTCCATCGAGTTCAGCGTCTGGGACATCGGCGGCCCGGCCAGCATGGCCACGGTCAACCAGTGCTTCTTCACCGACAAGGCCCTGTACGTGGTGGTGTGGAACCTGGCGCTGGGGGAGGAAGCCGTGGCCAGCCTGCAGTTCTGGCTGCTCAACATCGAGGTGAGAGACCCGGCCCGTCGGTCCTCGGGCCTCGGACATCCCAGGGCCCGGCCGCTTCGCTAGAGCGCCCCCCATTGACAGAGAAGGGAAAAAAGGAGAAGAAATGGTCAGGAAGAAGCACTTGGCATCTTTTTTGTTGTTGTTAATCCTCAGCTGAAGGCATTTTTTCCATTGATTTTTAGAGAGAGTGGAAGGGACGGAGGGAGAGAGAGAGAGAGAGGGAGAGAGAAACATCGATGTGAAAGAGACACATCATTTGGTTGCCTCCAGCATGATCCCGGACAGGGGCCAGGGCATCGAACCTGCAACCTAGGCGTGTGCCCTTAACCAGGAATCAAACCACAACCCTTCGGTGTGTGTGGGCCGACGCTCTAACCACTGAACAACTCGCCAGGGCGCTTGTCATTTCCTTTTACCTTAATTTAGTGTTTTTTTCGTTGTTGTTATTTGTTTTTTGTTAATCCTCACCTGAGGATATCTTTCCATTGATTTTTTAAAAAATATATTTTATTGATTTTTTACAGAGAGGAAGGTAGAGGGATAGAGAGTTAAAAACATCGATGAGAGAGAAACATCGATCAGCTGCCTCCTGCACACCCCCTACTGGGGATGGGCCGTGGTGCTGGTGGTGGGAACCCACCTGGACCTGATCGAAAGCAAGTTCCGCGTGGAGAGGATCGCGACGCTGCGGGCCTACGTGCTGGCGCTCTGCCGCTCGCCCTCAGGGTCCCGGGCCACGGGCTTCCCGGACATCACCTTCAAGCACCCATCGATGTGAGAGAGACACATCGATTGATTGCCTCCCGTGGCTGAGGTATGTGCCCTTGACTGGAATCAAACCCAAGACCCTTCCATCCACGGGTCGCCACTCTCTCCACTGAGCCAAACTCGCTAGGGCCCTTCTCCCTTTAAAAGCCCCCCACTATTGGGTAAAAGGCGACAGAGCTCCCCTCTCAGGTGGAAAGGTGACAGACCCGTATGCAGCTGCACTGTCTGACGAGACCAGAAACCCAGTCCCTGGGGGAGTCCCGGGGGGCCCCAGGCACCCCTCCGTCAGTGCCTGACAGCCCCTGGGGGTTACAGACAGGAGTGCAGTGGCGGCCCCGGGTGAGTGACAGGCTCAGGGCCACAGGCGTCCAGGCGGGCGGTGGTGGGAACCCACCTGGACCTGATCGAAAGCAAGTTCCGCGTGGAGAGGATCGCGACGCTGCGGGCCTACGTGCTGGCGCTCTGCCGGTCGCCCTCGGGGTCCCGGGCCACGGGCTTCCCGGACATCACCTTCAAGCACCTACAGTGAGTGTCCCAGGCCTTCCTGCTCCCGTGCGCTCTGACCTCCCCTGTGGCTGTGGCTGCTGGTCCCCGTCTTGTCCACCTTCCCTGCAGTACCTGGGATCTGCCTGCAGGGGGCGCCGAACCAAGGGCTGGGCTCCTCTGGGGCATCTTCTGGCTTAGAAGGGTTGCAGACCGGCCCTAGGGAGGGGGAGGAGCCAAGAGAGGTGTGGCAGGGCAAGGCACCGTCTCTGTGCGTCCTTCCTGGGTCACCCCACCAGCCCTGTGGCCGGTGCTGAGCCTGCACGGCCCATCCCCTGTGGTTGAGCATCGAACTAGGAACCAGGAGGTCACAGTTCGATTCCCGGTCAGGGCACCTGCCCCGGTTGTGGGCTCGGTCCCCAGTAGAGGGCGTGGAGGAGGCAGCTGATCAGTGATTCTCTCTCATCATGGATGTTTCTCCCTCCCTCTCCCTTCCTCTCTGACATCAATAAAAAATACATTTCGCTCTCACAGCGAGATTTCCTGCAAGACCCTGGAGGGCCTGGAGGGGCTGCGGCAGCTGATTTTCCACGTCACGTGCAACATGAGGGACGTGGGCAGCACCATCGGCTGCCAGCGGCTGGTGGGGAGGCTGGTGGGTACCGCAGGCCCCTGGTCCCAGTGCAGGCAGCTTCTGGGGAGAAAGGGAGGGATGGGCGGTGAGGCCTCCCACCTGCTCGGGGTG